GACCCCTTAATCGTGAATGTTGATTGTTGATTGGTTTAATACTATTAAAAGTACTTCTGTAGTACGCCAAAAACAGGCAAAAAGTTGACTTGCGACTAACCTGCTCGCAGACGTTGTTGTTCTTATGCCAAGTGACGAAAAACTACCGTCTGCTTACCCGAGCGCGAAACTGAATTCCGCTACGTCGACCAATCAGAATTTACCTTCCAAATTCTGGAAGGTGACGTCAGTTGATTTAGGAGTGGAATAAATATAAATATATATTTTGAAAGCATTTGTCGGTTGAATGTTGGTCAAAATTGCACATAAATTGAATTTAAGGATACTGATACTTGTCCAGGTAATAAAATGCACCATTAATGATCAGATTTGGATATTAAAGATGTTTGGTTATATTTAAACCACGGACAGGATTGGCATATTTAATATACTGTATGAATCTAGGCCAGACAGCATCAAATGCCGAATATATTTCGCTGAAATTTGAACTTTTGACGGAAGTTTATCTTTATAAGACAACAGAACTCGGAAGACAGAAAATTTTATATAATACTGTAGCTTAGAAAGCGAAATATTAGCTTCAAAGTAAACTAATTTGCTGTTTGAGCAACTACTTCTGAATGTAAACTGTATTAAAACACAACACAAACCCGAGAAACTTGTATTAAATGTAAAATTGCGCCGTGATGAATTTTCCAATTCGCCCAAACTGATCGAAATGTTTATACTCTAACTTGGCTATACTTTTCTACATGACAATGAGAGATTGAGAGCTTAATCTTTTAGACGTTTTCGTCGAAGTCATGACATATAGGAAGTATCAAGAGCAACATTTGGACATATCCTGATACACTCGAGTTTCCCAATTGATTGTTTGTAATTGTTAACAAAAATTTAAATTTCGCCTACTGCATTGCTTTAGCACTTTGTATACACCGATTGTTTGCTGAACATGTGAGAAGATGATCACAATATTATTCAATGTAAACATCGTGAAGTTCAACGCAGGCTATAGTTTCCAAAATATATTCACGCAAGTAAACAAATTTCAAGTTATATCCAATGCATGTGCAAGGGCTTTCCCCAGTAGCTAATCTCTCAATAAGGCGGCTTCCAATTGGCTCTGACTCTTTTGAACACTGCCATATGATTGGCTCCTAAAACAAAGGGAATTGAATATGCATCTCGGGTAAGCAGACGGTAGTTTTTCGTTGCTTGGCGTAAGAACAACAACAGATTAGAACAACAAACTTAAGGATTTGTTTACATTACAGACTTGACATGGTCTTTAAGGCCCGGTTTAAACTGCAAACTTTTCATGTCCCAAACCTAATACAACAATTAAGTATGTCAGAAAGTGGCATCTAAATCAAGGAATTAAGTTTGGAAAGTTTTGATTTATAAGTTCAATGCAGCACAATTAAATACGGCAAGTCATGTCATACTGTATTATGTGACACAGCTAGGTTCGACATGGGTTAGAGCCCATGCTTTTCATGTGCCAAACCTAATGCATACAGCAGAAATTTTTTAATATATTTATGTACGTTGTTGTATGATTGATATATTAGCAATTTAGCACTGAAATTTCTGATATAGTGTAGTTGTATTTTGAACAAGCTAAATTTGTTGGTAGGGATACATGTATAATATTATGCAGCTACCTGAAAAATTTAAGGATTAATTTTGATGTTTTGAGCGAAGACCCTTTGCCTGGAGCAAGCTTGTTCATATTATTAGGACTACCTAGTACGGCACAGACAGTACTTGTATTTTGGCATATGATCAGATCCAACGCAGGGCTGCAAATAAATATTTGACTTGACAGGACATTTGTCCAATCACTTTTAATTTTGGTCGGACATATCTTGAATTTGGTCGGACAAAAACCAACACCACTAAA